ACTCAAATAGAGGAATGCCTGGTTCCGTTCAGATAAATCCAAACGCGGCTGGAAATACCAGAAGTGAAACAGTTTGGCTCTTTTATCTGAAATCGAAGCACGCATGACTACAGCAGAAACCACAGGCAAATCCCCGAGGCCATTGCTAAGAGATCACCAGTTTTAACATCTGTCTCAAACATGCCAATAATGGACATGGTCCTACACCTGCCCTGCTCGGACACTGGACGGTATTGGGGCCGGGGGGAGAAGGGGTGACCCAGGGGAATGGCAGAATCCCACTGCTAGCCCACACGGTCACGATGAAGATGATGATGATGAAACTCTTTTGCATGCAGGGAAGGGACTCTGCTCCAAACATTCCCTGGGATCTTTGCTAATACAACCACTGCCTCCCTCTGTATGCAACCTCCAAACCCAGCATGGCTTTTCTAGAGCGGGGTTTGCACTCCAGGAGTCTGCTCCTTTGCTTCTGCAAACCCTCACCGCTGCACTGAAGGGATCAGGCTACCTTTAGTTATATCAGCTGTGGTCCCTGAAAAAAAAAAAAAAAGCCTTCTGCTGTTAGGAATTGCTGGGGTGTAAAATCACTCTGTGTAAATTCCTTCTTCGTGCTGTCACATCACCTGCCCCTATCTGGCCAGCCTAGGCAGACCTGCCACGGTGACGCTGAATATGACCAACATCATCCCCAAGTGCAGGATGGATTGCAACAGTCCGGGAGCACCAGCGGGGCTGGTGAGAAGTGCCCGGCTTCTCTGCTCCGGAAACCAAAGCCTTGTGTGCAAGGGCTCATCGCTAGACTGGGTCTCATCTGCGCCGTGGACCAGACGGCATCTCACTCATACCCACACACCGAGCATACGTGCAGTGCTCTCGCACGCTGAGCTGCAAAGGCGCTCTCACCTGAGCCAGGTGCTATCAGCTATCGCTTATGAGAGCTTTTGTCGAGAGAGAAAGAGCCCTCTCCAAGTGGGAGACAGGAACACTGGGAAGCCGGCATTTACGGCAGGCTCTCAAAGTGGCCATAGAAATTTAGTGAAGGTGACAAAAATTTCTGAGGGCAGATTTAAATTCAGAGTAAACGCAGAATGTCTGGCTTATCTGTTTGTTTGTTTTAAGGAGCCTCAAAATGCAGCATTTTCCAGGATTTTAAAGTGGATTCAAGTAATTTCCAATAGGAAAAGGAATTGTTTTAAACTGCTGCAGTGCGGGGACAGAATTCTTATCTCTGATCTGTACAGAAAAGTCTCTAACACTGCTCTTCCTACCTCCCACTTTTTCTTTCCAACAAGAAAGATGGAAAAAGAAGCAAGAGAAAGAGGTAAAAAAAAGATGGCTTTTTTTCAAACTAAAGAAACTTTAAGTCACTGAAAATAATTGAATAGAAATAAATACAAATTAGCCAACAATTGAGCAACTAATTTTATTTAAGATTTCATACGACAGAAGATACCAAAAAATTGGTGAATGTCTCAAATTTTGGAGGGCTTTCTTTTTTCCCCCTAATTCAGTGGATACAGTAGATCGTCCCTGAGGGAGAACTGCTACCAGACGGTATTTGCAGCTGATCTGTGCAATTGATGAGACAGATGTAAAACTGCTCTCCTCAAAACCTGCTGCAATTCTGTATGCTTTGGCCAGTGAAACTGTCCTTGCACTGTGATACAGTCTAATACCAAGTGCCCTCGGCCCTGTGCTAGCTTTGATTTTCCTTTGAAACTAAGTGTTGAAATATAAAGAGAAAAGTCCATGTGCAATAAAATGTTCCTGGCATTCCCTCGACTGAACATAAATAATCTAAAAATCGTATTTAATTTGAAACTGTTGCTCTGAAGGGTGTTTTGCAAAAGTGAAGCACTTGTGGCTGCTATTAAGAGCTAATTAGGACTGCCACAATCCCAGTCCCCTTGCCGGCCGTTTGCCGGTGACGTGCTGCAAGCAGTGAAGTGCTGCTCCTCTCTGTGGAGGCAGAGACTGGACAGGCATTAGGAAGGTCAAGGCACTATAGTCAGGCCTGCTTAATCTGAACATGGTTGCAAATGGGATAAAAAAAAAAAAAAGAAAAAAAACAGGCAAATTTTGTGCTGTTTTATCACCGCTACAAATCGCACAGGTGGTAAAGTATTTCTTCCCGTCAAAGAGAGACACAGCACAGATTAGACAGGAGTCACTATGGCTTTGTTGAGCCTCCATTGCTTTCCTCTCTCCCTTTAAAAATATTCCTGAAAAAAATCAAGTGCTATTTATTAGAAGTCTCCTTTCACTGGGAAGTCAAAGGGGTCTAATGTAACTGTCGTGTAAGTCTAGTGAAAACTGGCAGCAGCGACCAGTGCTTTAAGTGGGAGCCACCCCTCGCTGGCGAGGGTGTCCCAGAACACTGCACCAAGGCTGAATTTGGCACAGGTAAAAAATGTGGCCATGAGATTCTGCTGTCAGCAAATTTGATGATGTTCCCCTGGCTCACAGGAGGGCAAACAAGAAAACAAATGGTGTCACGCATAGGGCAGGAGGGATTTAACTCGCTGGGCAGAGATGGGGAGAACAAGAGGTCTTGGCCCCATGGACAATGACCTCTCCCTGGTGCTATGGCCAAGCGGTAGCACCTCTCCTCACCTTTTTCCTGACCCAGGGAAGCGGTTCTGACCTTGCATCTTAAGAAATCAAAAAAGGCAAGGCCAAAAAAAGATGGCCAAGCACCAGCTGAATGTCCCTGCGCTGAGAGGTCAGCAGTGGGGCAGTAAGTGCTTCCCCATGGCTCCAGAGGGACCAAAGGGTCTCCAGTGGTTCTGCACTTGATCTCTGCCAAGAAAGGCAGCAAGGAAACCCATAGGAAGTGGTTTGGATAATTTTGGTAATGCTTACTATCATGTCCCTTAAGATTTAGCTGAAGACCAGCCGCTGATGATGCGCAACCCACTGAACTGTGAGATGGTTGCAATCTCTGGCCATTAGCAACTAGAGCTGAATTTAAATAAAGTAGAAAACGTGAAGGAATCGACAACAAAATATGCAAGAAACTGAAAACCAAGCTCGGAAGCTAATCAGAGCCCTTGTTGTTTCTATAAGCTATAAAATTCCTCCTTTAAAAAAATGTTTTTTGAGCCATTGATGAAAAAATGCTATGTAAACACTAAGTCTGTTAGTCAATTTGTATTTAAACATTACTTAACAACCCAGTGTTACTATTAAATTGTTTAATTCTAAAAATGACAAGCAACAGGAATATGTGTGTGTTTATCAGAGATTTAATAATAAAAATTAGAATAAATATTGACCAGATAAAAACCTAATGTGGAAATACTTCAAAATGCTATTCTTGGAATTAATCCACCTACATATTAAAAAAATGGGGCTATTTATGATTCATTCAATAGGATTATTCCCTTGCTTCCTGTTTTCAAACAAAGCAATCAACCTCTGATCAAAATAAGCATTATGGCCAAGACCATTAACTAATTGCACTTGCAAGAGTTATGCCAATTGCAGCCACCCAAGAATCCAGCGGTGCCACCAATGTCATTAGTTTCTCATTAGCCCTTGTCAAGTGAGATATTTTTCTTAAAGACTTAACTCCCAGAGCCATGTGATTAGAAGATATATTGACTTTTTCTTTTTAATGCATGTTTGCAGAGGAAAGCTTTCAAATGCTATGCAGGTGAATTAAAATTGCTCAAAAAAAACCCAGAAAGAAATGCCAAAAGTGCACTCAGGTGCCATTATTACTTGAATCTGATTAGCTTTAAGCCTCATGGCTGTCAAAGCCTGACTCATTATTTTTGAATGGTAATTCCCATCTAATCTATCTGTTCTACGTGAAAACACATGGCTACACCTGCCCTCATGGACAAGACATGCACAGAGGGAAAAAATGTCATCTGTTTTGTCTGAGATACATTCACATGCTATGAGGATTTAGCCTTCTTCAGCTGCGTGTGGCTGAGCATTAACGGGAAGAACACTTCTGAAATATGGGAGGAACCTAAGTGGACATCCAGTTTCAAAATGGATTTCTCACAGTTCTATCAACCTCACTCCAAAGCTACAGAGGACAAATGCAGGATTGCAACAACTAGAGTTCCTGCAGATGAGAACCCAGGAGAAGGAGTTCTCCAACTTCTCTTGCCTTTCAGTGAGACTTGGGAATATATGCATGTATGTCCCTTCAAAAGGTCAAGGTAATATTCCCACTGCAGCGCTCTGCTGTGAGCAAGCAAAACTAAGCTATGAAAAATATATAAACACCAGTTATTTGCATTTGAATGAAAATAAAGGTAGTCTCAAAAGAAGGATGGAATAAATTTTTGAATCAATGACATTCTGGACCCTAGATAATGGTGTGGTTACTTTAATCTCAACTCAAATGGATTAGCATAGTCTAGGAAATATGTTCGCTGCCCTTTTAATCAAGATAGAGTAAACAACACAACCCCACCTAACCCTCACTGCTCTAGATGAAAGCCCAAATCAACAATGTGCTTATTTTTCTGGAGATTATGGGAAATCTTGTTCTGTTTTTATTGCTTAGATGTTAGCTGATTGAGTCTGCAGAACTTTGCTCACACGCTAGGCGGCAGTGCCCACCACCACTGCCACCAATACCATCGTACCTGACTCTGCCACATCAGCAATGTTCACCCCTTGCTCTTGTGCCATGAAGCCCAGGACGGAAAAAATTGCGAAGCCAGACACAAAACTGGTACCACTGTTCAGGCATCCCAGCAGCAAACAGTCCCTAAGTCACACATATGTCATGGAGCAAGTTAATTAAAAAAAAATTAACCCATTGTCCCTACTTTATTTACATCATTTAGCTAAAACACTAAACCCCCTTGGATGGAAACTTGCCTATAGCAGTTGTATTTGTACTTGTTGTAGCTCCCCAGGGAAGTCATTGCTCCTAAGCAGATTGCATATGAGAAGAAGATTTGTGTCCCTGCATCTATCCAGACCTAAAGGGAAAGACGGAAAGACTGTTATTACCGGCATCATTGCATTGTAACACTCAATGCAAACACACAGTTCAAGCTACGCAAAATCAACAAAATAATTGCTTCCATTGAGGGTCATAGCTAAAG